TCAGTCTTGACAAGCTTGAATTAGTCTTATAGACGAACTACCAGAACCTTGTTTTGTCCTTGGGGACCTGTATGCACATAGCGGTCTATGGGGAGATTCTCGCTGCAATGCACGAGGTCGCCTTATTGAACAGTTCCTTTTTTGTTGTGATGCCTGCCTATTGAATAAGAAAGAGCCAACATATTTTAACCTCGCTAACAAAACCTACTTATCCGTAGATATAAGTATTACGCCCCCCATCGCTTCTACCCATACTTCATTGTAATGTAATTAATAATCCTTTCGGAACTATCCATTTTCCCGTAGTTTTAAGCACACCAGTATCAAATCAATGTCCTTCACTGGTTCCCAAATAACTCGCAGATAAATGGCTCACAAATATTGGGAACAGTGTTATAAGCTTACTCAGTGCCTAAGTTGGACCGACATATCATGCTTAAGCTTGCAAGAAGCTGTAGAGTACAGCCTTTCTGACTGACGCTGCAACCCAATTCGTTCCGCTAACATCTGGACTGACCGGCAAATGATGTGTTGCATGATGGAACAATGAATGTCAAACGCATGCAGGAAGCAAAATAAAGCATGGAAGGTGTTTAGGGACTCTCCTACAGTGGAGAATCTTACAAATTTCAGAAGCATAAAATCTCAAGGTAGGAGGACACACCAACAGGTGAGAAGGAAAAGTTGGAAAAGTTCTTGTGTAGGATAAACTCGTATACGAACCAAGCCAAAGTCTGGAACAACTTAAAAATAGTCAGCGGATGTGAAGCGTATTCACTCCCATTAGTTAACACAGCAAGTGACACCTTAGAAGACCAGGCAAACTTCCTTGGTGCACACTTCGAGCTTGTTTCTAGCTCGGCACACTGCTTCAGGACATTTCAGTTGCACAAAAGAAAAATAAGACAAAAAAACTAGAACGAAAAAGTGCGAAATACAAGGCTCACTATAAACCTTTCCACTTAGCTAAAGTACATGCATCGCTAAACTACTGTAACAAATCTTCCCCTGGCTCCGACCGTGTGGTATATGAAATGTTGAGCAATCTGCCTTGAGAAACACAAAAAACTTTTCTTACCCTATAGACGAGAGCACGCCTATCCCGAACCCAGGCGCCTTTGGCGGTAGATCCTCGCTCCCAGAGACGCCATAATTTGTTTACAACTGCCAAGGCGCGCCTCGCTAGCATGGAACGCAGTGGCTCTAGGAGTTTCAAATGCGAAAAAGCACCTGTTCACGCTGCCCCTGCTTATAAAATGTCATCTGGGTACCACTGCGCTGGCATATCTGATGCGACGACAACCAGCTTTGATATCTGGGGTTTAGCGCAAGAGGAAGAGATTGCTGAGCACTGCCTGTGAAGTTCACAGTGCATTGCGGGAACCGTGCCGGTGCGGTGTTTTGCGATGGCACAGATTTTCGTCCACAACGAAAGACGCTCAGCTCCACCACCTTGGGATACAATCGCAATCGGCAGAAAAAACGAGCCCTGTGAAGTGTACGAGCAAGTAAACTTATTGTGTTTATTCAAGCGTGACTCCAGCTGTTTCACTTTACCGCAGCAATTTGCGTGCAGTATGCCTGTAGTGTGAGGCACAAAACTATTGCCGTACTTTTTCGCAGGCCGCATGTCAATAATAGGATATGCGTATTACGTACGACTCGTGTGTAGATGCACACACCGCGCATGTTTAGTACAACTGTAATGGTCTACTATCGCGATGCATGAACCGCGTGGATAGCATGACTTGTGACCAGATCGAACTGCGACATGCCTTGACTGTCACTAGGCGAATCTACATGTGCTTTCGACCGGCGTCACCGTAGCATTTTAAAATCTTGTTCTGGCTGGCGCTTTTGCACCGCGCACGTGTTCAGAGTGCCCGGCAGGATTGGCAATTGATACAAATGCGGTGCATGAGCGTAAGTTGGAACTAGATCCTAACGATACGTTGACGCCGGCTTACGGCAGAAATTCAGCCTTGTCACAGCCAAGGCATGTCGCAGTTCGGCTGAGTTGAAAACAACACTTTCCGCTGTTCGTGTTTCTTTCAGTCGCAATAGTACGTACCTGATGAAGCTTCTTCTGCAGTCTGTGATGCACGTGCTGCAGACATTCCAGACTGTTGAGGAAGGTCTCCTTGACGTTATACACATCAGCATAAACTTCCAGCACAGGAACAGCGCGAAACAGGCTTACAGCCGGACTCGGGTTGCGAAGTTTCGCGTTTGATTTGCAGAGCGTCTGCTCGCCTGGCAGTTGAAAATGTTATTTCGCCCTGCTTGCAACAGACGGCGCCACGCGCTTTTCGATTTGGCAGCTCGCTGTGTTCTTGTGATACAACGCTATTCGGTTTTCTGGTGAAAGAGGCGATCGTTATTCCAATCCTGAAACAGGGAAAGGAACTATCTTCCGTTTGCAGTTATGGACTAATAGCTCTGACAAGTTGCCTTTACAAACTCTTTGAAAAGATGATTAACCGTTGGCTACTTTCTCGAATCAAAGTGTGGTTTTTCAAGATGGTCGATCCACAACTGACCATCTCGTACGCATAGAGACAAGCATGACATGGAAAAAGCATATGATACGACATGGCAATTTGGCATATTGAGGGACCTCTCAGAAGTGTGTGCATGGAAAAATTTAGATATTATAGAAAGCTACTTGTCGAACAGCACATTTCGCATTAACATTGGCAACATCATGTTACGTCCATTTGTCCAGGAAACTGAAGTGCTACAGGGTGGTGTCCCAAGTGCACACTTTTTATAATAAAAGTGAACTCCTTGCATTTGTTGGTTTTAGATTCTGCAGACTCGCAATATGCAAATGGGAAGTTCAGCTTGCGCATAATAAAGTATCAAAGTAGGCCGATGAAAACGGTTTCAGCCTCAGTCCACAAAAGAGCACTTCTGTACTTTTTTCTGGGAAAGGAGGACTGTACCCCGACCCAAATAGATATATGCAAGGCCATCCGCTGCCTGTACAGAGCACAAGTATTTAGGTCTAATTTTAGACACGAAATTATCTTTTGTATAAACCACAAAACAGGTTCCTGAGACAAGTTTAAACGAGTTCAAATACAAGGTAAAAAAACAAGTTTCTGAAAACTATGAGTATTGTGAAGGTTTTGTCGCGTACATCATGGGGAAGTAATCAAAAATGTCTTACTAACCTCTGCAAGTCTCATACTGGCACGCCTAGACCACATGGCCATTGTTTATGAATCTGCCCACATCTGCAGGGGAATTTGACGAAAAGTCAAAACATGCATGCACGGGTAGACATGAAGCATGGCCTGGCATGGCGGGGGAAACGGTGCATAGTTTTGTGCGTAGCTGCCACAGTACAGCTTCGCTGTGGTTGCTGGCGTTCTAGCTGCTCTAGCGGCTCCAGCGCAACCGTGAGCGGGACACACGAAGACTGCCCACCACGGTGATCTAGTGAATATGCTCTGCTCAACTGCTGGTCCTCGCTGATTGCTGGATTGAATCCCGGCCGCGGTGGTCGCATTTCCTATAGAGGCAAAAATGCTTTAGGTTAGTGTACGTGTGTGTACGTTTAAGAACTTTCGAGTGGTCGAAGTTTTCAGAGCCCTTGACTACGGCGTCTCTCATATTCATAACGTGGTTCAGGAGCATTGAACCCTGTCAATTATTGTCTATATTGGAATTTATTTCATCAGTTAAGCAATGATTGACACTATCGGCAAGGGATCATCAAAAGTGAAGTAAAGTTCTTTATTTAGTATGCGGATTTAGTGTCCACGCATAGGGTGGGCTGAAAAACCAAAGGGCCATATTGGTTTTTGTTATACATATTCTCAAAATTTGATGATGGATATCTGAAACTACGCGTGATATTTTAGTTTTTTTAAAAACTACGCTCTCTATGTTTTGTCATGTAGAACAGCTTAGTCATGTAACCACCCTAAACTCGAGAATAAAAAGGTAATTCAAATATTTTTGTTAATTATTCCTTAGTAATAAAAGTAGTTGCAAAGCGCTTCTAAGCCTAGAAATTCACTGCAAAGACGAAGTATGCCTACCCTGTAGCTATAATAGTTAAAAAAAGTATCTATTGCTTAAAAAAAAAAAAAAAAAACATCCTGCATATATGGTATGGAGCGACAGAGACTTCATCGGTGATTTCTACCAACAGTTCTAGAAAACGACGTTTAGTAAGGAAGAATTGTGAATTTTGAATGATGTTTTCTCAACATCTTCTAGAAAACTTCCTGTGAGAAACGTTTATTCAACGTTGCACAATTAGACGTCGACATACCTTTCTTGTCATTCCGAGAAGTGTTTACGAGGTTTTGTGTTTCTTGGTTATTGGTTTAGTATGCGAACTTTTATTATATTAGCTCATCTCTACTCTTGAGTTTTTTTCATGATGGATGCATTATTTTAATCGCGTTTTGAACGTTGGAACATTTTAACATTTAGTTTTTTTCATTCATCTGAGGTCTAGTAACTGTCCAGAGTGTCGATTATGTTTTTTCTTTGAGTTGCTGTGCTTTCACTTTTGATGTTGTAAGGTTTAATATATAATGATATATGAATTTCGGGTAAGTCTGGTAGCTTGATCAGGAATACATGCTTAGTAAAACCACTGAAATTTTTTGTGTTTACCAGAAAGCAAAAATTCTAATCAACAGTGGTGTATGGCCTGACAAATCTGCTCCAAAACTAAATTTTGATGCTCCAAGACACACCTTTTGCTGCTCCAGATGTGCTCCAAAACTTTCTTTTTACTGCTCCAAAGCTGCATTATTCTTGCTCCCAAAGCTACATTTAAAGACTGAAGCTTGTTTCCACCACTGATTCCATTTGATGTTTTTCAGAACTGTAGAGAAATCATTGAATCAAAGCTAGTGATTCTTGGATTCTCTGTCAAATATCAAAATACTAGTCTCTTGGTTTTTAAAGGTGTTGAACTTTTTTGCACCCTTGTAAGAAAAGTGTGAAGACAGCAGCGTTTGTTGCTATAATTCCAGAGGACTCCTACAGGAAGCAGGTGGTGATTGATGGAGAAACATGCCTGTTGGACATACTCGACACTGCAGGTCAAGAGGAGTACAGGTATGGCTCTAACTGCATTTCCGCCAGCTGTGTGCTTCCATGCTTGTTTACTAGGTTGCCCTGGGAGTATACTCTCACCTTCATTCTCATGGCGGTCAGCGCAAAAAAGGGCATGACAGAACAAGAAAGTGCACAGTACAAATGCTGTCTAACAAATGAAAATTTAATAGAAAGAACGTAATGTAGGACACTAACAAAATTTTATTAACCCCAACCAACGGTATGATCACATAGGCTGTAAATATGAAACATAAGCATCAGTGAGAGCAATTGAAGGCTGGCTCAAGTACCTGTCTTTTGCTTTAACGATTTCAATTGCTTTTGTGGTTTCATGCAGCCTCGTTTTTTTTTTCTTCAATAATCTTTCAGTTGTTTGACAGCACATGTGTCATGTTTTTTATTTTTTGTGCCCTTTTTCGCGCTGACCATCATGAGCATTTTCAGCGTTGCCCGATTTGCCACATTAAAATGTAACCCCAATTGTACGACTTTCAAAGGACCACATAAAGCTGTCATAAATCCGGCCGATGTATAATCAATAAACTAAAAATACAGGCAGTGGTGCTCAGTCTTGCACAAGAAACTGGTTCAGACGACCTGAATAAGCCTACGACACGACCTTGTGCTGCTCCAAGGAAGGCAGAATAAATAATTTTCGTCAGTGGCAGGTGTAAGCGAATCTTTATTCTCAACTTTGAGGAATGGAAGCCAACGTGCATCGTTCTCCCATTAAATTTAGTTCTAAAGAAGCCTGTGCATGAAAACGAAATGGCGTTGCCAGCAACCTCCCTCTCGTATGAAGAGCTAGACGCAATGTCATTGCTATTACATAAATGACGATAGACCACAAGTTAACTTGGTTCCATAGATTGCCTTCGTGCTTGGCTTGTTGTAATTTGTTGCCTTATGAAACGTAACTAGTGATGTCCCCCTGTTATAATGAATGTTGAGGTTAAGTGCAAAATAGCTGCATCGCGCCCTTTTGGGTGCTCAAGCTTGCGACTGCGAGTGCCACAAGTGAAGGCAGGCGATCAAGTATACGTTGACTAGGAAAAGTTTCCATGGACCAAAAACATAAGAATATCAGGATCTCAGAAATGAGCTCTTTGGCCAGCTGAAGTTACTCTGGGCGAAGCTTCTCTAGGTAACCACCCTGCCTATGCGCGCAATCAAAGGCGCGTTCAGAAGAAGTGCACGAACTATACTCATGGGCAACTTTTCTTGGCAATGAAGGGAAGGCTACGGAGCCAAACTGGGCATGTGCCTCCGCTGAGGAATATAGTCCCACAATTGCGTCTGTATTATCCACGTGACAATCAGAAACTTCACTTTATTTTCTAAGAGATGTTATAAGGAAACACAGCTCACACCTATGACATATTCATAATTCTTTACTTCATGCAGTGTCATCTCACGTTTTTGCACTTGTGAAAACGTCGCTCGTTTTACATACGCCTCACTGTGAAAATGGCGTCTACTCCTTTGGGTGCGCTCTCGTCGCCATCCAGCTATTTCAACGACTCGACGAAGAAACTTGTGACAAATTTCCCTCGCGAATGACTGTCTAAGTAGACGTAGTAAATAGAATGCAGTGTTGTTATTCGAACACGACCATCATTCGAAACGCAAGCCAAACCTGACTACTTTGAGCAGGAGTACATGTGCAATAGCTCCATCCATGTAGCTTTCCCTACATTGCCAAGAAAAGTTGTTTGGGAGCATATTGAAAAAAAATTTTCCATTCTAAGAAGACTCAACCTTCACTTTTCTAATCATGAACAGAGGGAAAAGGTTAATATTTTGTACTCATGAGTATTGGGTCAACGTTCGATGAGAGTAAAGATGTTTTTTATTTATTTTTTTTTCGACAGAATCTAAGTCTACGTAAGAATGCGAGGTCGTTGTATAACAGCATTGTATAAACAAGGTTTTAACACATTATCTGTATAGGAATTTCGGTGGGACGAAACCGATCAGTTATAAATCAGCCAGTCGTTGCATAACCGGGAGATGTATAATCGAAGTTCCACTGTAATTCAGTTGATCACTAAGTCAACAGGCTCTCTTTGCATGTGTTAACCTGGACTCCACTAACCCAGCAGTCTTGTGTAACATGTTGTGGTATGCAAATGCCAAGAAAGTGTGTGGGCATCCTGGCACGCGACGGGGTCACTCACTCGATTTGGGGGTGGCTTCAGCCATCGCCTAGCCATGTAAGTATGTGCCACCAGCTGCGCTCTGAGTAGACTTTTGTGCTGTTGTCAAAATTGCCTGCGGCGGGGCGCAATCAGATCTGTGGCGGCACGGTGCGAGTTGGGGGGGGGGGGGGGGGGATTCAGCATGGCTCGGTATTCATTAGTTCTGTGAATGTTGAAAAAAAAAATTTGCCTGAAAGGGCAAAGCAGTAAATGTGTTAGCAACTTCTTGAACAAGGAGCTAAGGCCAGCAGCTAACATTTTTCTCATCCGATCTCGGGAAAACTGCAAAGCGCTGGTGTAAGGGAATGGTGACCACTTCTGGGAAAGCGCAATATAGTGGAATGCCGGGCCAGTTGGTGCAACAGAATGTGGAAATATATGAGCGCACAAGGTAGAAGGAAAGTAGGAAAGGCGCTGATTATCTCGCAAGAATGTGTATCAGTGTTCTCTCAGTGGCACCAAGTGACAAAGAATTGTGCTTTTTAAGTAGTTGAAGGAGAGAAACAAAACCTTTTGTTGGGGTGATGTTTTTTTAGTGATAGTTGGTTGCGCCTGCATGTTGTTCTCGTGCAATGAATTTTTCTAATGAATCTGCAGATGTAAGAAAGCTTGTTTTCTTCCTTGTAGTTTGTGTGCTCATATATTTCCACACCCGGAAAGAAGCAATTTTCATGCAGCGTGTAGCAGTGGTCACAGCATGAAGCAGGAAGATCATGGTGCTTGAGGACTTGAGCCATTTGCTGATGCCCACCAAGATGGTGCGCCCTTATAGTCAGTTCACAGGTGCGGCTTGAGCCCCCCAGAACCTCTACCCCACTGTCCCTTCGCACTCCAGCATCCAGCGAATGACGGACAAGGCGCGTTATTTCTGGTTGAGCAGTAATCCACAGCCTGTCTTGCGCTAGGGCTGTTGTTATCCCATGCGCCTTCCGTGCGACGAAGATGGGCACCTTGTTTCATTTATGCTTCGGCAGTGTTCCTTGCTATCACTCGTGAGGTTTTGTTCATGGGCACAGAGTACGATGTGCGTACAACAGATGGAATTGACACGGAACATGATGGCGAAGATGAAAATCTGTGGAATGCTTATGTGACTGTTGCAATAAAAAAAAATTTACAACCTTGGAAGCAGGTTGGCTTTTACTTTGAAGAGGAGCTTCGTCTTTTTTGTAAAGAGTTTGGTCTTTGGAAGAACCAAATAATCCAAATTGTTTCGCTCAGGCTTTCACTGCAGTTCTTACTGGCGATATCTCCTTGAAAATTTTTTTTTCATGAAGCAGGGGTGCAGTGTTAGCTCTAAAAGGTATGTCTATTAGGATTAGGAGCTTGTCAGCTGCATGCTGTTATTTCCGCTTGCACAACCCAAAACTCGCAAAATGATGTAAAATCGGCACGCGATCATTATTGCAGGGAAAGAAAAACGGGTAAGCTAATGAATGACAAAGCAGGGTAGGAGGCACTTTCCAATAGAAAAATGTCATATGACATGTATGACACATATACAATAATATAATATCTTATACAAGAACACATATAATTCATTCAAAATGATTGGATTCGAGGCATTGTCATATGAGAGCTTTCACTAGGGATAAGATATTTCTCCTATATGAACCAATTGAGACTGTGGGCCCTCATCGTGTCTCGTGAACCTCAGTTTTGGCGTTAAAAAAGAGACTTCAAAAGTAAAGAGCAAGCTCTATTTTTTTATTGTCAGAGGCAGTTTTGGGGCCTTTGAATATACAGTGTGCGGAAACATGGACACCGGAGTAGTCAAGGCACCGCATATGACCCTAACTGAAAGATTGTAGAGCGGCAGAATAGAAAGTAAACAAAAAGCTAAGGCAGGTTCGCAGACGTGGGGCCGAACCTCAAGAAGCCATGGAGCTGGGCATGTCTCCTCAATTGTCACTCTCCTGCTTTTCCGTTTTTTTTTTTTTTTTTCGTTGTACAGTGAAACCTCGTTAAACCGTAGTTGGCCGGAGCTCGGAAAAAGTACGTACTAAACGGTAGTACTGCTTAACTGAAATAGCGTCAGGTCGCTCACTTACCTGTCAAAAAAAAGAAACCTTCAGGGAGTGCGATGAAAGAACAAAAAACGTGCAGTAATTTATTAACTTCACGTGACAGTCTGTAATCTTCATTTGACGACGCGGCGGCCTAGCAGCAACGACAGCGGCCTCGAACTCGCTTGTGCTGTGAGCCAGCTTTTCCGCCAGCCCCCTCTTCTCGGCAAATACCCGCATGACGCTGACGCAATGCGCAGCTTCGACCACTGTCGGACCTGGATCACCCGTGTTGTCGCTTTCCATGTCGTCCTCATCACTATCATTTGGCAACACTTCGACAACGGAGGCAAAAATGGCTTCGTCAAACATGTCTGGAGATTTCTGCACATCGCTGTCTGCGTCTCTGAGGTCGGGGAAGGAAATGCCTTCCGTAACGCCCTGCCGCTCCAGCACTTCAGCTAGCACAGTTTTGCAAGCTTCGTCTACGATGTACTAAGTCTGGTCGATGGTGTCACTAGTGTCATTTGCGTCGCCCGCACACACACTGAAGCCAGCACGCTTGAAGCAATTTTGAACTGTCATTGCTTCAATCTGCCGCCACGAGTATTCGAGCAGGTGAATCGCGCCAATCAGGTCGATGGAGAATAATTTGCCACATTTAATGGCGAGAAGAAATCTGCGCAGCAGATTCTTCTTGTAGAGCTGTTTTACAGCTGGAATGATGCCTTGGTCCAAGGGCTGGGCAATCGCTGTTGTGTTTGGTGGCAGAAACGCCAACTTCACAGCCGTCAGG